AAGCGAACATGCGAGTCCCAGGAAGTAATCGAGAAGAAGACGACTCGATCGCCGAGACAATACGTTTATTCGCACTAGGTAAACTTAAGTTTTAAATGTAGAGGAAGCCTGTTCGTGCAATTAACCGAGTGAACAAATTAGCACAAGTAGTATAAGGTTGGAAAATAATCCTTTTGTAAAATTTTCGGATGCATATGCTTTAATATTACCCAAATGACTCGTTTATAAACATTCTATCTTAAACAGCTGCCTGTTTGGGTCATGGTCTCAGAATCACGAAAACATGTCAACTAATTGCCGAGAAAAATGAACTTCCACAAGAAAAGTCGCGAATGAATATGTGTAAGGTTAATTTGAAAATTTTCTATAGCAAGTTACCTCTTGAAGAAGCACTTTTATTTAGATATTTCAGTGTCGAATGTCCGAGTACATTTTTTTGAAGATAAGATCAAGATCAAGATAAGGAATGTTGACCAGTTTTTTGACTTCCCTAAAAATTAGAGATGCATCATCTGCTGAAAAAGAAAGAACTCCCTTTTCTATGTATACAGGAGCAGGGTTCATTATATTTTTGTTTACTTATAGGCTCAGTTCTAAGATAACAAAAGCAGAGCAGTGTGGCAGATTATCAGCGACGATTTTAAGAAAATAATATTTTTCTGTCCGTTGCGTTTCAAGGTTTTCTATTCATTGGTTTTGCTCAACAGATAGAAAATGCTTGGGCATCTTTTGCACACTACTTGACAGAGAAAATTGACGGTATGTCTAGGGTCTTTGTGTATATGTTTGTTTACGGTCGTTAGTTTCGGTGAGCTAAAGCAAATTACAGCCTAATAAGTTTACCACTTCATTTTATTGTACAAAACTGAGCAGATTTGCAAAATATAATTTGCTAAACTTTACGTCGCTCTTCTTTTCTGCACAGAAATGCATTATCTCATAACTGCACTTACCTCAATTTCATGAACGCAAATCAAAATTGTCTGTTTTCTGAACATATATAATTAAAAGTTTGTGATTTTTATTAATGTTCTTTTATAGTATAGTAGTGTGACAGTCTGCGTTTAGCACCACTGCGCTGATCCATCTTGTCTTCGCTTGCCAAGCCTCGGGCACTCGCGCACAACAAACTTTCCCGCACGCTCTTGGTTGATCGCTGCTAGGGACACCCGCATTCTCCTCTCTGCCTCACATTCCCGTTTGAGGCGTGCGTAAGCTCGAAAGCAATCGATCTGTGAGTGATCATTTAAAAAATTTGGCGGATAAACGCGCAGCTAATAAAACTGCAGGACGAACGACCAACAGACTAGCAGGCGTTTCAAAGTTTTTACATATTGTATTTATTATAATATTATTTAAGATCGTTTATTTTAATTATTAAAAAAGTAAGTGGTGGTTAGAAGGTCGTCTACTTCAAATTACCTGTGGTCGAACTTAAGTTCTGGAGTTCGTTTACTATATTCCGCGGCGCGAAGCGCCGCGCACACCCTCAATTTGCATGCGCAACAACATACATGAAGCCTTGGATGTTCTATCTTCCAGTTTTTAGGACCTCTCCACGACAAAAACATTAAAACGCTCGCCAATACATTGAACGGTCATGCCGCACGTTTGTTGGTTAATTCATCCGCCGAAGTTTGTGCAAATAGGGTATGCTAATCGATCCAAATACGAGAGACACACTGAAACAGTTGGCCTGAAGAAACTATTGACAGCTAACGGGTGACAGAGCTTTCTTTAAGGCTTCCTTCTTGCAGTAAAAAACTATTCCAACCTACTCTGTCTTCCCTAATTTCTGATTTGACAAACCTTCGCCTTGTCTACTCAACAGACATGACAAACCTTCCAAACTGAAGCCTCCCTTAGCGAACAAAGAGTGCTACCCGGTGTGAGGAGAAGTCAGTAAATGAAGTGTGAAATAAATTTATAAAAATTAGAAACATTTGCGATGAACGATTTGTGGGCCGGATTCGTCGTATTCCTGCTTGGTGATCCACATCTGCTGGAAGGTGGACAGGGATCCCAGGATTGAGCCACCGATCCAAACTGAGTATTTGCGCTCAGGAGGTGCAATGATTTTGATCTTCATTGATGAGGGAGCGAGCGAGCTGATCTCCTTGTTCATTCTGTCAGCAATGCCCGGGTACATGGTCGATCCACCTGACATGACAATGTTGCAGTACAGGTCTTTCCTGATGTCGACATCGCATTTCATGATGGAGTTGTAAGTGGTCTCATGAATTCCACAACTCTCTTGACCCAAGAAGCTGGGCTGGAAGAGAGCCTCGGGGCAGCGGAAGCGCTCGTTGCCAACAGTGATCACCTGACCATCGGGGAGTTCATAGGTCTTCTCGAGGGAAGAGCTTGAGGCAGCAGTGGCCATTTCGTTCTCAAAGTCGAGAGCCACGTAGCAGAGCTTCTCCTTGACGTCACGGACGATTTCGCGTTCGGCGGTTGTGGTGAAGCTGTAGCCACGCTCTGTGAGGATCTTCATGA